GGAGAAGCGCGGGCGGGTCTGGGGAGGGGGAGACGCACGGAGGGTTTGGGGAGACGCGCGGAGGGTCTCGGGAGGGGAGATGTGCAGGGTGTCTCCGGACATGTTGGGTATCGCCGCATACGCCAAGGTTAGAGCAATCATTCTGGGGCCATTATTTACAGTCGGCTCTAAAATGACGACCTGCACGGGCTTTTAAAGTGTCACCTATGGATGCTTTTGGATTCCATATTTTTTTGCCATTTCACGTGCACACGCAGTTTTGAAGCTCGGTGTGTTTGGTATCTATGTATTTGGTGTGACCTTATCTTTTATATTCTATTGGATAATATAATGAGGGGAATTTATCAAAACTGGAGCAGAGAGAATCAGCTTCTCTCTTTAGTTGGTTCAGTTAAGCTTCGAAAATGAAAGATAGACGCTGGCAGGTTGTCATGGGCAACTGCTCCATATTGCGTCTGCTCCAGTTTTGATAATCCCCCTCCCCCACCATTGCGTTTCTGTGCACTAAAATTAATTTAACAGCAATTTTTACTGAAAATCCGGGTTCAATAAACTGCTACGCTAAAATCGCGTGACAACAAAAAATTGGAACTGCCGCCATTTTATTCTCCAGTGTTTCTGGTAATGAGAAATATACAATTCTGGAAGTTGTAAGTAATCTTCAGGAGCTTTTGGGTGCTTACACTAGCTGCATTAAAAAATAGTGTATTAAATAAGTACAGAGCTTGTGAAATGAAGCATCAAAACATGTCAAATTACATTTCAGTACAGAGCTTTATTAATTGTGTCTTTTATATTTGTCTGGAGTTCACCCTTAAAATTTTTCAGGGGTGAATTGGGACCTCGGGGGAGGGAATCTGGTTGGATGTGCAGGCTCATTGTGTATCTGCATATTGGCTCCTAGTTCCCAGCTTCCTAGAGTGCACTTACACTTACAAGGCTCACACTGTGTATATCTGTCCTATGCTCCTCAGCTCCCTCTAGAGGCCATAATGTGGTATATTCCAAATATAACGTTCGAAATTAGAAACAACAATCTAAGAACAATGGTTTTGGGTTCCTTTTGCAGAACGAATGATAAGAGTTTTAAGGGGCAAATGGCCTGAGATTTGCTTATAAATACACCCACATTTATTTTTGGGCCCGAAGTCCCAACCCCAGCTAAACTTTTTCTCCTCGTCATTCATTGAGGGACACATGATCAGTTGAATCCGAGACAATTGGGGTTATACTGCCGCCTTCAGGAGGAATAGGACACTGGCAAAAAAAAAAGCCTCCTCAGCTCCATCTAGTGGCCATAACGTGGTATTTTCTCACAATTACACTTGTTCTGTACAAGAAAATGTTTGAATTTTTCCCTGTTTGCACAGAACGAATGTGAATGTCGGTTTTGGAGAACAAATGGCTCTGCAAACATTTTATAACAACACCCCTTAGTGTACTGGCTTGTTAGCCACAGTGTACTTTACAGGTCCAGGGCCCTGACACAACCTCTGGTGTGATCCCTAAAGACTCCCATGGGAATATTTCCGCAGTACTATCCCAGAATGCCTGGAATGTGACATTCACTGGGTTCTGCATTTCTTCAGTACCTTCCTCCTGTGCTTGTTAGCTGCAGAACGCATTCCAGGCCTTCAATATGGTAGGTCTGGGGCATAGCCTCATATGAGCATGGCACACCATTGCCATTACCCTGAGAGGGTTAACACATTGGGAATTAAAGTGCTGCGTCAGTCTTAGCTGTGTTGGACGCAAACTCACGCTGCCTCTTCCTGCCTTTCAGCATGTCGTAGTTTCACCCCACTGTTCTATTCACAGGGGTCACAAGTTTCCTTGGTTTCTCCTGCTGCCCAGGAGTGGCACCCTCACCTTTGGCCATATAACCTTCCCAGTTTCCGCAGCTGGTTTATGAGTACCCACCATGCTTCTTGGTGTTTTTCGGATTCTAATCGCAAAGGGAACAGTCCAGGGAACAACGGGCCTGCCCAGCTTTGGGTGTAAGGTCCTTCAGGCAGCTCTTTGACCTGTAGGCAGCCCCTAGAGCAGTGATGGCCAACCTTAGCACTCCAGCTGTTTTGGAACTACAAGTCCATGAGGCATTGCAAGGCTCCGACAGCCACAGACATAACTCCCAGAGGAAGATGCATGTTGGGATTTGTAGTTTTGGCACAGCTGGAGTGCCAAGGTTCGCCACCACTGCCCTAGAGTTTACTTTGTTGTATCTTGATTTGTGAGCTCTGTGGGTTGGGTGCTATGTTGCCTAACCCTCATTTCAATGGGCCAATGGTCTCAGATCCAACTGATCCTGTGTC